TCATATTGAAATACTGCCCCTCAATGAGGCCAAACTTAGGTTCACAAAATGTTTAGGGGTATGCATAGCCCTGCATCCCCCCAGAAAAAAAGCACTGCTCATATCAATGGACAGCTTGCACACTTGCCCTTTGTGACCAGTCCTGTGATACATCACCTTCAGGCAAAATGGTAGCTCTGAGTTACTAGGAAAACACTCAAAATGGTTGGGGAACATTCTCCATTGGCAATATAGGACACCCAGCATATTAATCTTTTCAGGAGCTCTTTGTTTGGATGTCACCTGACTATATAAACTTTCCACTGTTCATAATGCTTTTCCACAGCTCTGTTAAGATTACTAGAAGAATGTCTGGGAGTCAGCAAAGTGAAACACCTGAAAGCCTATGGAAACAGGGCATGTGAACAAAAATGCTTTCTCGCCATATCTGGCAATGCTGCGCATTTCATTTTCTAATGATTAGTTAAAACCCAGTCTGATGTTGGGATGCTTTTGCCTAAATGCACTGGATTCTATCATCAGAGCTGTCACTCATTTCTGCACGTGCACAATATGGGCGCTTCAGTCTAATTGCTCATTCTGTAAACCAGCTGCCCAATTTACATGCAGACAGATCCACACTGGATTCTAAAATGTCACAAATGCACACAGATGTGGTAAACACAAAGGCATATTAAATTGTCTAAAAATCATCAAGTTGGTTCATAAATTTTCTTCTTTTGTCCCTCTTAATGTCATATTAATCTCCATTATTTGTACTTGTAAGCCATTAATGCTATTTTGGGCTCCTTTATGTTTAACTCTCTCGTTTAAAGTTCTGTTTTGTGAAGATGTTTAAGATATGGAAAAGCTGTTTTCACAAATGTTTTAATCCGCCCTATAGATTTTACAAGTATCTTGTTTTAAGTTAGAGAAAGGCAAATGTATACAGACCACATCTATGCAAGTTTAACACCACTCAAACATTGGGAACATTATATTTCTGTCTTACCATCATTTTGACAACTGAGTAACTGGTGAATGTTTATAATAAGGTAAGAGGCACATAGTAAGCATCCAGAATATAAACCCAAAGCTGGTCCATGTAATACTAAATTATAATTTATCATCAAGCCCAAGACATGCCATTGGAGTATCTGCATTCTGTTTTAAACCAATCACAGTTTGTTGTTTCATCTGAACTGAGAACTCTGGGTGGTTTAAAATATGGTTTATTGAAATAAGTCAGGATAAGCCACAGTTTGATCGTGGCTTGTTTCAATTAACCAAGTATACCATTCTTTTGTAATCACTAATACAGTACAGCAATGCTACCAAAAAAATGTAACAAAAAATTAATCTTGTTAGCAGACTAAATAGATCTAGCCTGACACAAGAGTATTTACATATATTAACTGCAATTATTATTTTTTAATTTCCAGAAACCCAGTAAGATAGATAAGGAGAGGGAAATCATGTTAATAGAAATATTCTTCACGACCCCCATAGTCATGAAAACTGGAGACTGCTTTTCCCTCCTGTTCTATAGAATAGAAAAGGAACAAGATATGAAAAGGGAGCTGTCTACCTGTGCCAGTCCAATAAACAAACTACTCCCGCAGAGATCTCACAGTAATCTAACTGGATTGTCTAATATTCCTGGCACAGCAAACTCTAAATTAATTATGTACAGCTGGACACATTACTTTTTCAGTTACAAATTACTTATATGTTCAAAACAGATTTTTGAACACATTTGCAAAGGACAGAGAAGAAATAAACCCTATTGCCAAGATGATGTTGAAGCTAACAAAACAGTGGGAGTAGAATTTTAGTGGCCTATATTTTACTTCATACAGACATCAAATCACTATGGGTAGTGCCCAATTGTAGTATCCTGTTTCTACAATGGTCTTCCACTTGTGCAAATGGGGCTTCCCCTTACTCTCCTCTTCTTGCAGCACGCAACCCCCCCCAAAAAAAATCTGGTATTGAGGGCAGGATATCCTCCAGATCAGATTTTGTGAACTCATGGGGAGGGAGAAAAGATGGGAACTTCTGTTATCTGTTTGAGTAATGCTGGCTTTTGCCCTATGTGTAGCAAACACCTTGGACTAAGAACTGACTAAGGTAACAGGTTATTATTTTCTCCCTTTTTTTTATAAGATCTGAATTTCTTTTAAGATTTGAGAGCACTTACCGGTACCTGTTGGTAAAATTTGTACTCATTATTTAGAAATATTCAGCAGTCATGTCTTTTCTTAATGAATAATTGTCTCTCAGAGTAATTGCAGAAAAACAGCACCATATCAGGAAGATCTTCAAACAGTTGTTTCCTTAAAGCAAATCTAATCTGATGCATTTCAGTCTAAATAAACAGAATACCAATGCTATTCATTTGTTCATTGGAACTACCACATTTACTGGAAAGAACTGAGGAATATAAGAGGAAGCAGGACTGGGTTCACCCAGTTCATTAAAATCTGTTGTATGACACAGCTGGAGAAAAAACTTTCCTGTGATTAAACTATGAAATCTCTGCTTGTCTTATCTCCAGATTGCAAACTTGCATATTTAAGTTTCCCTTGTGTGAGTCATTAAATGAAACCTTTGTGAAGCTGAAACTTATTTTTCGGGATTAAAAAAATATATGATGACTTCCACATAGGTATCAGAAAAGAAATTCAGTTCAGTTTGGATTTACAGTTTCCACACTTTCTAAAACAATATGTAAACCAGAACACACATTCATTCTTCAGAATTCACCTTTCTTTGAATTTGGCACTGCAGTTTTCCAGGCAAATCATGTGTACAAAAATGCATTATATCCAGGAAAAATGTGCATTGAAATGCATATATTATTGAAAACAACATCCAAAATGCACTGTGTTAGGAAAAATGTTTTGGAAAAATGTATACATTAAGCAAAATTGCAAAGAAGAATGTGCATATAGGGGAAAATCTGCACTAAAAGCTCATGAATTTTCTTGAGGGTGTTTTTTAAAAAAAATAAATAAATCACAAACTTGTAAAATTGTGGAGAACTGAATTTAAGACTGAAAAAATGAGCGAGAGAAAGCCAAATGGACAGATTTGCTCATCCCTGCTTGCACACCCATCTGTACTAACAGGGCCTCAACTTGTCTCCTAGACACAGAGAAAATTGCCAATATTACCCAGACTTGTAGTGTTTCCAGTACAGTGTCTAGACTGGAAACATTGCAGTTTATAATTAATTGTAGTCCTGGCATAGCTCTGATTAGTAACCCATGTTTTACATATTCAGTATCCAAAATCATTTGTGATATCATTAGGATATCCATTTTTTAAAAGTTAGATCTAAAATTGGCTTGCTTCTCACTTTTCAAGTAGATATTTGTTTTTACATATAAATAATAGTGTGATTCAGAGCTCATGACGAAACACATGTTCTTACTTGAACCATTTTATTTCATTTAAAGGAGATTCAGTCTCATCTTTATAATTTGTATATCTAGAGAGTTTGGGGCTAAAAAGGACCATGGGCTGTCCACAGGCTTAAGGTTCTACGACACCCATACCCGCCCCCAACCTCTGGAGGCACTAACTGAACCCTCAGCCAGGCCAAATAGATGAGGCATTTTTGCTGGTCTGGGTTGCTTTTGCAACTATTGAGGGCAGTTCTCAAGAGAAATGCTAAAAGCTGAAGGGCTGGATGTTTTCAGCCAGTTAGCATCAATATATTTTGCTCCAGTTCCAGTTAGCATCAATATATTTTGCTATCTTTATATAGCTTTTACAAAAGTTCATAATGGTATGTAAATCAAAACTAGCCTGCTCTCTCTGCTTTTCAGCTCAACTTTTCTGTATATTTTATTTTAGCATCAAACCTGCGTAGATGCCATTAATACAAAACCTAAGTATCAGTCCTGATTTGTTTTTCACAAACACCTGTTCTGCTGCCACAGTGTAACCAATGCATTTCAAGAGTGTGTCCTTATGGTTGTTAAGTAAGCAGTTAAAGCAATTAAGACTCATTCCGTTTTAGAGCATTATAATTGAAAAATAATTCAAGAGAACCCATTACCAATACAGGGGTGGGGGGGGGGTGTACACTTACGCACGCAATAATGTTGCTGTGTGGAGTACCTCTATTCAGGGTTCCAGAGAAGCAGCTATGGCCTTGTCTAAGGAACTCCATTCCATCACTCCACCATTTTCTACTTCCCCTCCCCACCAAGAGCCAATCAGCATTCAGTGCCTATTGAGCATGCTCAATCTTCATTGACCTTCCCCAGGAGGGGAATCTAAATATCTTGTTTCCCAAGTTTACCAATGCATTTTCTCCGTGCACGAGGAGTGTTGATCCATAATACAATAATGAGTTTACTATCAGCATATGGAACATCATATTATACAACATATTACTGCACATGAGGTGACTTGAGCATGCTGCCATCTCACATTTCTATCGGGACCATATTAAAAGACTCAGATGCAGTTCCCACCACCTACCCACTACCTTAGCAGACGCAACCAGTAGAATAGCATGGGTGAAGCCCTGTCGCTCTCCTGGCTTCCCATTTCCATAGATGGCTGCTGCTGTTTACTGAGAGGGAGAGGAACAGGGAGATGACTGCAAGGTGGGGTGGTGAAGCCAATCCAGTGCTACTGCTGTCATAAGCAGCAGCAACAACCTGCATTGTTGGGAAGCCAGGAGAGCAAGACAAGGAATCACTGTGGGCTTATTTACAAGGCCTTTTGCAGGGCATCAACCTTCCACATTTGCAGGGAGGGACTCAATTGCTTGGCTCCTCCGCAATGGTCATACTTAGGGCTTCTTATCTTGCCCTCTCTCATAACACTGTGGGGATGTCTGGAAAGCAGCTCCCTCTTTGTGCTTTGCTATGAATGTCCCCTTAGTTCATATTACAGACAAACAGAGGTATTGGGGAGAAACCCCACAGACTTCGCAAACATAAATTAGTATTGGCCTCCTAGGGCTCAAAAAGCATAAAAGTTACTGCATAAACATTTCCTACCTCACATCCATCACAGGCAACAGGCATGGAAAACTGGGAGTTCAGCATCCATAAGTGGTCCTGAATTGAAAACAGTTAAAAGGGACAATGATTATTAAGGCACTTGGCATTTCATATAATTCATTCAGTGTGTTTTTGTCTAAAATTCTTGTAGAGACAATCTGCTTGAAAAGGGGGTGGGGAGCAGTTTTTAGCAAATGCTTGAAAATGATACAATTCCTTCCATCACACAGAGCACAGATGGCCCACTTCTCATCTCTCAGCTGCTTTAGGCTTAATCACCCAGTATTCTCAGGTACTGGTTCATTTAAAAGCCACTCATACAAATTGAAAATTCAGAATTTAAGCTATTCCTTGCAGTTTTCTCTCCAAGCCATATAAAGGAGTACCTTTCACCATATCAGCCAACCCAGGCCCTTTGAGTGGCAGAGAGGGCTCTTATTCGTGTGCCACCAGCAAGTCCTGCTCACGGTATCAGGATGAGGGACAGGGCCTTCTCACTAATTGCACCCCAACTGCGAGATGTAGCCACAGACAGAGATGGCTTCATCTTTGATGAGCTTCATTCTCATTTGTTCTCCCACACTTTTGAAAGATCTGGCTAAGTTGAATTTGGAAGTGAGGATCATTTGTGTTACGCTGCCTGTGGATTTTGATTGCATTCTGTTTTGATTGTTGTGCTGGTTTTATCGTGCTGAAAACTGCTTTGGGGGTCACAATGTGATGAGCACCAATCCAGACATTTTATAAAATAAATGGCAAATAAATATGCGTGTGCAGTGAGCTTCATCTTCTTTGGCGAAATGTACTGCAGGAAGCTCATGCGTGTAGTCTAGAGTGCTGGGAATAGCAGCCATAATTCTAACATCAGAACTAAGGGATACATCTATCATTTTCCTCATGCAAAGCTACCATATTTTTCCATGTATAAGACGAGGTTTTTTTATCATTAAAAAATGTTGAAAATTGGGGGTTGTCTACATGGATAGTGCAGAGGAGGGATGGGCGATTGGTGCCAGCCAATCCCCCCCCCAAAAAAGCTCAACAACTCTGGGCAATCCCCTCATAAGGGGATCGTCTTATACATGGGAGTTATACACAAAAAAATACGGTATGTGGCCTCTGATGAGAGGATAAGTATAAATAGTATGAGGCACTGCTTCGTTAACACCTATTCCTTAAGATAAAATTAGTCAACATTTTTGCCACCATATAGTTCAATGTTCATTGTTAACTTTCAAACAATTTAACATTCTGCCACTTAAAGTTGACAATTTTCGTTGACCCAACCCAGCAACTGGTAAATACAGGATTACAAATTTCGCATAGTTCTATCCTCAGTGAATTTACAGGTTAGGACCCAGAGTCTACAAAACAGATAGAAATAACAGCAGGAGTCTCATATGAAAGCGATATGGAAAGACCTAATCAGCGGCAGTATTATTCTACTTCCTTTTCAACTAATCATGCCCAGAAGCTGCATAAAATCATGAGCTTTTAGTTTATGCATCAGTCTGATTTCCCTCTGTGTAAAGGCAAATGAGGCTAATTGATTTCTGTTTCCCATGCTCATTTCCCCACAAACACCTGCTTTTATTAGATTTACTCATATGTTGGATCACACCAATAATCATATTTATTTAATTCAGCAACAGTTTATTAAAAACAAACAGAAATATTTGCTCTTTGGATAGTCATAGTAACAGGGCAACAATCCGGCAGTACTGCAGGAGTACTAATGATTTAAAATGAAGTAATTAAACGAGTGCAATAGTCTCTCAGTGCACACTGACCCCAGCATAGCTCCCTCTTGTCCGTTTTTGAGAGACCAGGTCCAGTGAATGGCATGTGGTCTTTAACTAAAAATGCCATGCCATTATCTATAAAAGATTGGTTCCAACCGTCTGTGATAAATCTTTCCCAGGGTGTGGGCCTTTTTGTCACAGATTTCTCTCAAAGAGAAAAACTCCAGCGTTAGTTGTTACCATAAAAATGTGGGCTATAATACTGCATTCATCCTTGTACTGATATTTGGCAAATTGCCCAATTTCTTTCCAGTATCTTTGTGGTGGTGGAGGTTTTGAATATCATTCTTTCAACCAACTGGGGAACTGGGAATAAGGGGTGGACAAAACCCAACAGAGCATTGCCACATTGCAGAACTATGGAGAAAAATATATTATTCCCTGTATTACGGAGCAAAGCTAGGAACTGTTGTAAGCCAACAACAAATGCTTTACTGTGTTAATACAAAAGGCCTCCATCACAGTTACCCTTCTAGTTTGTGCTGTTCCACTGCCCCCCTGTAGTTGGCTACAGCCCTTCACTCCTTGTTCCTTCAAGCCCAGCTCTTGAAGCAGCCCAACTCTCACAAAGGACAGTTGCTATGTATGTGCCTGTGTAAAGGCAGAACGAGAGGTTCCACGTGTCTTGTATGCTGCGGAGATCATGCACTGTGGCACAGAAGTATACTTAAGACCATAGGCACCTTAATACATGTTCCAAAAACACCAAACAGTAAAGTATTTCTGGAGGCTGCTCTATGAATACCTTCAGGAGAGTAACTGCTGTGTTATCAAGGACATTTAGTCAACTATGCAGGAAAATAACATGATGCGCATCGCTTGGTAAGAGCAAAACTAGGTTCTGAGAACAATCACTACCTCCTGGCTGAAATGGAAAATAGTAGTTCAGAATCTAAGATTTTCAATTTGTCTCTTAGGTGGAATTCAGCCCATTAACTTTTATTCATGTTTGTGGTGCCAGAAAACAACAATACTTAGTTACACAAATCCCATTACTGCTTAATGGTGTTGTCTGAGCACATTGGTCTCGGCAATCTCATTTGCACAAGATAAAATTAAATAGAAAAATAATAATGAAGAGGCCTGTGGTGTCTTGTTAGGAGGAAGAATGACTCTGCGTTGGTTTCCTGTTCTACCGCGCCCAGATTTGCTTTGGGAATTAATCTTAGGTATTTGAACACATTCCTGTCATGAGCCTGCGCACCCCCCACCAGACTTTTCCCCAAATTTGTGAATAATGCTCCTTTTTGTGCATGCACTTCAGGTGGGCAGTGCATGGTTTCTTGCAGCTGACAGCTGATGAATCAGCTTGATACAAAACCATCTGTCTGAATGAGACACTCCCACCACCTAGGAAAATGACCTTTACCAAGTCACAGCACTGGACCTCTAGCTCAGTGTTGTCTAGGGCTAGGCTGACTCACAGTGGCTCCAGTGGTGGAGCTTCATGCTCCCGGCACCGGGGGGCGGAGAGCAGGCGGGGGCAGGTATGGCATGCGTCCTGGGGGCCTGGCACCCAGCACGGGCGGGGGGCAGCCATGATGGCACTCTGCCGGGATTGCGCTGCCAGGGGCGGTGCGCTCCCCCCAACTCCTCTTCCTCCTCCAGTGAGTAGTTCTTCACACCTTCGGCATGCAAAGCATACTTAAACACTGAGCTACTTTCCTAAGTAATTACTAAGTAATTTCGGCTTTGAGATACTTTTGCAGCTTTCCTTGATGAAACAGGGTCACTCCTAGGCATAAGTGGGTGGAGCTAGAAGCAGTGCTTTTTTCTGGGGGTACGCAGGGGTATGCATACCCCTTAACATTTTGTGAATCTTTGTACTTTTTGTCCATTTACTGTGTTTATTTTTCCCGATTTGAACTATAAAATGGTGGTTGTCTTGAGTCAAAATGAGAGTACCCCTAAACATTTTTTTTAGGAAAAAAAGCACTGGCTAAAAGTAAGTGTGACCTGACAGAAATAGTAGGACTAACACAATCTGGACTTTAAAATGTGTCACAAGCATAAAATAAAAACTACAAGTACATGCAAGCAGATGGTTGGAGGTGATAAAAGCAGGTGATGCAAGCCTCAGACTACAAAGCAAATCAATTACTTATAATACACACACACACACACACACAGAGAGAGAGAGAGAGAGAGAGAGAGAGAGAGAGAGAGAGATTGAGAGAGAGAGAGATTTTTTTCTTAAAAAAAATGTTTAGGGGTACTCTCATGTTTCTACTCATATTGAAATACTGCCCCTCAATGAGGCCAAACTTAGGTTCACAAAATGTTTAGGGGTATGCGTACCCCTGCGTACCCCCAGAAAAAGCAGTGTGTGTGTGTGTGTTACTGATATTGCACACCACCTCAAGCTCTGAAAGGTGAGAGATTCCAGGGGTTCAATGTGTCTGTATTTCCCTTTGGAAGCAGAAGTCCTTGTACAGAGCTTCCACTACTGCGACTCATTCATGGAATCCTGGCCATTATTCCCACCCAACCCCCAACCCCTAGCATAAAAGGTAAGTTTTCAGAATTCTCTGCATTGTCGTGATAGACAAGTTCCCTTCCAAAGTATTTCTATGCATGTATAGAGTGCCTTTTCCCCATGACAAAACTACTGTACTTTCCTGCATATTTAGAATTCAAGAATGGCCATGGGTTAACAATTGATTTTTCCGTATAATAATCATTGCTCTCCACTGTGTGTTACACACACACACACACACACACACACACACACACACACACACACAATTCCATGTATCCTCCCTCTTCCACAATTTACCTCATCCCAGTAGCCCAACTGAAAATAACAGATCCATTAGCTCCCTCCCCACCCTCTCCAATTCACTAGCACAGTGAGAGGTGGCACTTTAAACATTAATCTTTTACTGTTGCAGTTTATCAGTATATTAAGGGAGTCTGCAGAAGACTGAGCCAACTATTTCCCTTACCCAACCTCCTGTCCCCCCACAAACATCATTTGCAGTTTAAAAAGACTTTCGTATCACCTTAATTCTTGGATCTTCTTCCTCCAAGTTTGTGATTCATTTCCCTAATAATCTGCGAGAAACAGAGATAGCTAGCCAGGAGTAAAACACCTAATTTGCATTTAACACACAGGTTTTAGGAAGAAAGCCCAGAAGGGAAAATATCAGCTCTTGGCTTTTAAAGTGATATGGTTTTGTGCCAGTTTATTTCCTTCCTTCAGTGAGAACTTAAATATTTGCTTACAACCAATCCTTCATCCCAAAGATCCCAGGC